GCTATTAGGTTGGAGGCCATCGCTAGCAGGTTGGAGGCCATCGCTATCCGGTTGGAGGCCATCGCTAGCAGGTTGGAGGCCATCGCTAGTAGGTCGGAGGCCATTGCCAGTAGGTTGGAGGCCATTGGCCATATGGAAGGTCGCTACAGGAGGTGCAAACCAACAGTTGAATGGGTCCTTGAAACGATTGGCACCCTTCCATGTGGCTGTGCATATGCCGCAAGTTATGGCCGAGGCGCCTTTTGTGGTGGAGACCCAAGATTCAGGCGCCTTTGGATGGCAGAGGATCCATTTGGGGCGGCTGCCTCTCTGAGATGTACTGTAAGATTTCTGTCACGAAGATTGCAACAACTCAAACATCTGGATGCAAACGATGTTAAGTTTCCCACAAGTCTAGGAACCAAATCATTAAGCCCGAGTCCTTCTGCGTCGTAGGTCGTAGCTACTGAAGCTAGTAGCTTACATACTTACCTCCTCTTACCGCTGCATCTAGGCGGCCGGATTTCCGTGCTGGACCCGGGCGACCTTGCAGTACTGGTGCGGGGTCCTGGGGGGTGTCCGACGTGTCTCGGTCGGAGTTTGGGTTTTGGAGACCGGTTCTAGTTCAGTATCTTGGTACGAAGCAGGCTACAACTAGGGTATGAAACACATATAAGGTCGAAAAACACAGCTAGCAATGGCCTCCAACCTGCTTGCGATGGCGCTTCCAACCTAAAAGGGTCTGAAAGTCGAAAGAGAAAGGTCTAAAGGAACATGATCGTAGAGCTCTGGAAGATGCAAGGTCTTGACCTTTGCTACTAGGAGCAACGACGCTACTAGGGGCTCCTGGCATCGCTACGAACGAAGCAAGGACGCTACGGTAGCAAGGACGCGATGGTTCCTTACAATTGATATCAATCCGTAGACAGACATCTGCAGTGGTCAATGAAAGTCCCATCCGCGACTCAAACGTGGTATGACATAATCCTACCAACGTGCACATCTTGCCTGCTATGTGCAGTCTTTGCTAGATCAGGCAAATCCAATTCGGTAACTTCCAAAAGATCTTACAACCTTAGTTTTCATATTTGTTGTAAGGTTTTTCCCCAAACAGTACACTTAGGGGTTCTTACGGTAAGTGTTAAGCAGCTGTGCTTAGATCGCTGGGGCGCGCGTGCGTGACCGGCTAATTCGCTGCTATTTTACAGTACATTCATGCCTTTCGAAATCGTCGACATGCATTTCGAATGCGCAGGCTCGCGAAGTCTGGGCGGCGGCGGCGAGTGCTTGTCGCGACTGCGCTCTCGTTGTGGTGCCGCGCTCATTTTCGGACATGGTGGTCACTTTTCGTGGCAGGTGCAAGGGAAACCTCGTGTGTTGGTGGTCCAAAGTCGACTTTTTGTGACAGGTGCAAAGGATCGGAGCGGCTTTAGATTGAGATGCATATTTCGTGGCAGGTGCAGCACTTTGGACATGGCGGTGATCGTCCCGGCGCTCTGATTTCGTGACAGGTGCAGTGAATCGTGAGTTTTGGACATGTGGCTCGTTTGCAGATTTCGTGGCAGGCGCAGCACTTGGTGAAGCTCGAAGTGCAGCTTCGGGGCAGGCGCAGCGCTTGGTGAACCTCCAAGTGGAGATTTCGTGGCAGGTGCTTCTCTTGGTGAGCCTCCAAGTGCAGATTTCGTGGCAGGCGCAGCGTTTGGTGAAGCTCGAGGCGCAGATTTCGTGGCAGGCAAAAAGTACTTATGAACCTCGAAGCGCAGATTTCGTGGCAGGCGCATGCACTTGGGCAAGCTCGAAGTGCAGATTTCGTGGCAGGCACAGCACGTTGTGAACCTCGAAGTGCAGATTTCGTGGCAGGCACAGCACGTTGTGAACCTCGAAGTGCAGATTTCGTGGCAGGCGCAGCAACAGCACTTTGTGAACCTGGAAGTGCAGATTTCGGGGCGGGCACAGCGCTGTGAGAACCTCCAAGGACAGATTTCGTGGCAGGCCCAGCAGTGTGTGCTCTCAGATGCTCACTCGCGCTCTCTCACTCACACTCACTCTCACTATCTCTCACTCACCAGTCACCACTTTCTGCTTATAGACCTCTCACACACACACACTGTTTGGGGTCTCTTGCCGGGATAACTTATCACCAAACAGTGTGGACACACTTAGGACTTAGGGGTTCTTACGTAGTAGTAGTTCAGTTAAGCAGCTGTGCTTAGATCGCTGTGCCGCGCGGCCGTGCCCGGCTAATTGCCTGCTTTTACAGTACATTCATGTCTCGCGAAATCCTCGAGCGCATTTCGACTCGCAGGCTCGCAAAATCTGGGTGGCCGCGGTGAGTGCTTGTCGCGGCCGCTCTCGTTGTGATGCCGTGCTCATTTTCGGACGTGGTCACTTTTCGTGGCAGGTGCAAGGGAAACCTCATGTGTTGGTGGTCCAAAGTCGACTTTTTGTGACAGGTGCAAAGGATCGGAGCGGTTTTGCTTTGAGATGCATATTTCGTGGCAGGTGCAGCGCTTTGGACATGGCGGTGATCGTCCCCGCAGATTTCGTGGCAGGCAAAGTACTTTGTGAACCTCGAAGCGAGATTTCGTGACGGGAGGCGCGCACTTGGTGAAGCTCGAAGTGCAGATTTCGCGGCAGGCGCAGCGCGTTGTGAACCTCGCAATGCAGATTTCGTGGCAGGCACAGCGCTTTGTGAACCTCAAAGTGCAGATTTCGTGGCAGGCACACAGCACTTTGTGAACCTCGAAGTGCAGATTTCGTGGCAGGTGCAGCGCTAGGTGAACCTCGAAGCGCAGCTTTCGAGGCAAGCGTAACACTTTGTGCTTCTCACTCGCACTCACTCACTCTCTCACTCTCTCACTCTCACTTTCACTCTCACTCACACTCACCCTCACTCACGCCCACACTCACACGCACTCTCATTCACACTCAGTCTCACTCACACACTCACACTCACCCTCACGCCTCTTGCCGGGAAAATTTTGCTCTTGCATCCAGCAAGCCAAAAAGAGAAAAACATGTTAGTCAACTGAATCAGATAATTTCATCTCCCAGTACCCATTCCTACATTTTGTCTCAGCTTATCCTATCCTCAGGAAAGGTTTCAGGAGTTTATCCAGCTTTAGCAAAGATTACTGGGCCCGTTCCTTTTAACCCACGAACTGTTTTCCAGAGGCCAGAGGCGCCATGAAATCTACTGTAATTGCGTTTGCAAACAGTCCATCGAGTTCGCTTTGCCTGGACATTTGGAATTTGGCTGTATCTGTGTAGTCCATGGCAAAACCCTCTCTTGTCCATCGACTTTGGCGTGCCCCCCTGAGCTGCGCGATGTGGATCTTCATGTGCAGATTTCAGTGCGTGAAAACATTGTGCCAGATCGCCGCTGCTCACCGTGCACATCCGTGTGCCACAGGTATGCCCAGGTCATAAGCTCCAGGAACAAATAGCTACTAGTAGCTTCTTGTTACTAGAAGTAAGGCCAGGAACCCCTAGTAGCGTGCTTGCTCCTAGTAGTAAGGCCAGGAACCCCTCACCATTTTATTCCCGAAGCAGGTTATTCACCCGCGGCGCTTATGCCTTTGAAGGTTTTTTTTTTTTTGGTGCCTCGTAAGGTTCGCTCCGGTTGTCCAAGGCGTTCGGTTTGTTCGCAATTTCGTTTTGGGCGGCTGGTTCAGGTCATCTCCAGTGGCCGCAAGGCAGGTATGGGGTGCTTCAGACACCCCACTGGACTGAGTTGACAGCTGGATGGTTCTGTTTTCAGACATGAAGGAACCTGGTAGAAGTGACAGCACAAACACCTATTGGTCGATGTGGTTGGGTTTCAGTTTCAGCTTTGTGAGGCATGACAGCTTTGTGGACTTTCTTTCAGCTGCCTATCCGATCCCTATCATCTCCTCCGCGCCAACCTCCGCTGGTGTCAGGTTTGGCTCTTGCGGGCGACGCTCCAATCACTGTCCCGTCATTGTCCCAGTGGACCATACAATTGACCTTAGACCGCATGTGGATGCTGAAAAAGCACTGACGAGGCTTCAAACAGACCTTTGTGGAAGGTTTCCCTTCTAGAAAAGGGTGTTTCTTTAGAGGCCAAACTTGTTGCAGCATAGTTTACGACTGATTTGCGACCCAGGTGTCGATGGTTTACGACCCGGCAACGTGGGGGTTCCTTCCTGGAGTCGGGCCTTGGCTCGCCGTGAGCTACTGTACCAGCTTCTGTGGATTGGGATGGTGTAGAATATCAGAATGCGAAAACCCGAGGAGTCAATCAGAAACACATGCTACACATGTTGCGTTCAAGACAACTGAACTTATTTTTTCAATTCCATTTCTCACAGGCCCGGAAACGACAGGACTATACTTTTTGATACTTTTTCTATTTCTTTTGGCCTAATGTGATGAGCTTGGTTTTCTGTTTAGCAAGTGGATAGGGCAAGGGGGAACACAGGCTTGGATTGTAAACGTAACATGTAAGAATCCCATCAACTCTTGTTGCCAAGAGCCCCAAGAGCCGAAAACGCACAGGGTTTCTGTTCACACTTCCGAACGGGCCAGTGTTGGGCGTCCGAAAGCAGCGCCACCAAAAACGGCCTTCCGATCCATCGGCGCCCAAGACGCCGGACGCGGCGCGCGACGCGAAAGTGGACGACTCGACGCCTACAGGTCTTGGTCTTCTTGGGGTCTTGGAGCTCCCAGGCGGCAGTCCAGGAGCTGCTCGGCGGGATGTGGATACGATGGATCACTATGAATTCGGATGTGGATCTTTGGGTGTGATAGATACAGTTGACCTTTGCACTTTCTGATGCCTTTGTGGAAGTTTTTGGCAGTCCGTCGTCTGTCCATTCTGCTGCCAGCTGTCCACCAAAACGGTTGTTTGGAGCGGCTCTGCCCCAGTCAAACATGGAAAAGGCACGTTTGACAAGGTACCAGGACCTGCAGGTGGATCCACCCCATGTGTCCGTTGCACGTTGCAGATGGCGTGGATCTGAGGTTCGGCTTCCCCTGAGCTGGTTTCGAGACTACACAGAAAGGCACCGAAGCGGACAATGATGGTTGGTGGTGCTGTGAAGGTTTGGTAGGTATGTGGGTCCGAAAACTGAGTACACAATTCTTTTGATCAGCTTCTTTTGCGTTTTCATCTACAAGAATTTTGGACATTTATCTTACAAGACCTCCTCCTTGGACACCCCAAACAGTTTCCTTGACATCTCAACATGGTTCTTGACCGCGTGCGCAGGTGGCGAGAAGAAATGCATGCCCATCTTTCAGGAGGTCGGGCGGGTATACAGTATACGAGAATAGTATGCAGTTAGGCCGCTTTGTAGGTTATTGTGCATCTATCTCTCTCTTTCTCTCTTGTCGTGGTACGAGGAGCGTCACATCGAACGGCTCGAACGGTCTTTCAGAGCGGTCGGACGCTACGAACGGGGCTGGTATCGCCACTAGGACGAACGGAGCCTGTTGGAGCGGCCGCCGGCCCGAAGGGGCACTGGGGACGTTGGCTTGGTCCGCCAGGCAGCGGTTCCCAATGTGCACTTGAACCGGTCCCTCCACTTGGCGCTCACACACTTTCGAGGAGTGGATGGGGGTGGGTGGAAGTGGGTGGAAGTGGGTGGAAGTGGGTGGAACTTGGAAATCCAACAAATCCGTTTCCCCGCTACAACTCAGCAATCCATCCGACGTCAGTCTCACGTCAGTGAGGCTTCGGAGCTGACAGCATTCAGCCTTTCAATATGTCTCATGTTCGGGATGTGAGTTGGGCCTGCTGGTTTGCCTCTCAAAGCTGAATACCAAAATCAATAATCCATCGACTCCGGCGCAGACGTCCTATGTGCAGGTAAAGGTCTTCGATCTTTGGTTGTGCTGGAGGACTCCGAGGGGAACGCTTGGAGGTAAAACCGAAGTCCAAGGATGTCTCCTTTTGTTGAAAAGTCTAGGTTGGAGGCGATCGCTAGTAGGTTGGAGGCCATCGCTACTAGGGGCTCTCCTGGCGCTACTGCTAGGAACAAGAAGCTACTAGGTTATCTGAAGATATCGAGAAACCCTTCATGGTGGTCCATGTGAGTATGTTTCTCTTTTAGTTTTTGCAAGTACAGTTTCCGTGGCACTTCACACAGCAGGTCAAATCTATGGCGGCAATGGGTGAAGGGTTTTCCCTGAAATAACATCACGAGCTGAAAACCCTGTGGGGTCACTGACTCTTTAGGGTTAGAAGTCGGTGCAGCATCACTTCTCCATGTCGGTGCTAGCAGCAAAACATGCAAAACCCCCGTCTTCGCCAGAAAAAGACCACCTCGACCAACTCAGGAGGGGCAGATTTTCTCTTTGGATCTTCTTTGGTTCTTTGTGCAGCTGCTGCCGGTGATCCGCCGGGGCCATGTGACGGAGAGGTCTGCTTTGGAGGAGGACGCGTTTGGTGGATGAGGAGAGGTTTGAATACGAAGAACATCCCATGAGGTTTGAAGATCTTGGATAGACTCCATGCCTATCTGAGAGCCGAAGCGTCCGCTTTTGGAGCGTGTCAACAAGCCATGCCTCGAGGGAGAACGGTTCACCGGTTCCACACGGGTTCCACGTCGCCCGAGACCTCAGGTCGGGACAGCAGCATTTTATGCGCCAGCGCATGGAATGAGAATGGCTTGGCGCCGGGCAAGCTCAGCGTTTGAGCTCCATGGACTCGGTGTGAAAGTTCAGAGTCTTAGAGCTTAGTCGAACCAATGGCCTGCAATGGTGTTTGGTCTAACTCTGCAGGGCTCCCAACCTCATAGTTTTGAGCCATGAGGATTGCTTGACGCTGATCCAAGGGGCTTTTGAAAGGGCGATGAGAGCTTTCCGAGCCAACCTTTCTAGTGCTGGGAACCTGGACTTGACTGTTGAGACTGGGTAGCCACTTGTTTTGAGTCAGTAATTCTTATGTGTGGGTATGAGACACCCAAAATGCTCGAATGCCCATTGTGGTTCAACAGTCTGGCTTTCCACCATGTTCCCTTTAGTTGTCATGCTAGGAGGTCCAGCTCTCACCTCCCTCTAGAATTGAGATGATTTCGACAACGTGTGATTTGATCCATAGACCAGCAGCCCTCAACGCCCATTTGTGATTCTTGATATCCATACATACTGGGATGGCCATCGGTTTTGACCCGCTGCCATAGCCACTTGGCACCAAAGTGCACGGACACTCCAGACTCTTCAGGCCCTATGCTGCTGACCTAACAGTCCTTCTTCGTTCTGATGGGTTCTCTTCTACAGGCCATACTTTGGCTATGATGAGCATGGGCAGATGTACCCACATTGAGAAGATCTAGACGAATTCCATGCTTGTGTGCCAAAGTGCAGAGTGGCTTCAAGCAGGCTCATGGATGTTTGCTTTGGGCACGTAGCACTATCAATATATCAAGTTGCATGGCCATGGATCAATCTAGACTGCTCATGACCCACATGCAAGACAGCATGTCAGTCCCGGCCAGCATGGCTCATGGAGATGGATGTCCTGAAGGCGCTCCTCCCACAGTGGGCCAAGGACCGGCGATTGGACTTCAATGTTCAGTCTGTGAGTTGTTTTGTGGAATGCAAACGCCATCGGTTTGGTGGATGATCTTTGGGGCCGTTTTTCGCTTGGCATGGTGTGTGTTTTTGAATGTTAATGTAATCCATTGCCGTACCCAACTCAAGCCCCCCAATCTTTGTTGAGTGACAAAGCTTTGTTCTGTGCCCTGGCCATGTTGCGCTTGGCCTGTGCCTTGGCCTGCTTGGCTGTGATTTTTGGCCGCCGCCACACACAACACCTCCATCCAGTGCAGGCGGACACAGAGTCAGTGACAGAGGAGGTGGAGCAGGTGGAGAATGCAGCAAGCCAGGTCCTTGACTCTGTAGTTCCTGACCCTGGCAAGGACGAGGACCTTATTCCACTGTCTGCTTCCCTACAGATTGCTCCCACCATGGATGTCATGCCAACCAAGTCTAGCATGACCCTGTTCCTGACCCATGTGGAATCTGGCGCCGCTCCGAATGTGAGTGTCGTGGTGACCTTCACAGCCAAAAATGAAGTGGCCTCCACAGAATTCGGTCAAGCCTTGGAGGGACTGCTGGCTGTGGGCCCACCCAGCCTGGCTGATGCTCAACAGCAATTATCTGCTGGGTAAAGGTAGCGCATGGCAGCATATACTTGCTAGCGTATGGTAGCCAGGATATGCGTGCAGGGCAAACCCACAGAATTTGTTCACAACGTTAGAGGTCGTGCAGCTTGATGAGATGAAGGTATCAGCGTGAAGATCACGAATCATTAGAATCACTAGAAACCCCAGCGCTGAGGGTTGAAGTGTTTCCACACATATGGACCTTCTTTCTTCTTCTTCTTCTTCTTCTTCTTAAGAACTGGCCTAGCCATGCTTCATCCATGTCCCACGGAATTTGTTGACGTTAGAGGTCGTGCCGCTTCATCATATGAAGGTATCGGCACCAAGATCACGAATCACTAGAATATACTAGACTCCCCAGTACTCAGGCTTGGAAATGTTTCTGCTTAACCCATGTCCATAGCGGCCACAGCGCTCAGGAGATGACCAAGATCAAATGGCCTGGTCGCCAAGTCACGGTGACGCTTGAGGGGCCTTTGGTCCCGAGCGCAGTGCACAGCATCGAAACTCTCTCACGCCACCTTGGCACTGTGAATGCCTCTAGGCAGCGAAGGTCGAAGCGATTTCTTGC